CAACAACCTCAGATATGCAGATGATACCACTCTCATGGCAGAAAATGAAGAGGAACTAAAGAGCCTCTTGATGCAGGTGAAGAAGGAGAGCGCAAATGTTGGCTTGAAACTCAACATTAAGAAAACTAAGATCATGGCATCTGGTCCTCTCACTTCCTGGCAAATACATGGGGAAGAAATGGAGGTAGTGACAGATTTTATTTTCCTGGGCTCCAAGATCACCTCAGATGGGGACTGCAGCCAAGAAATTAAAAGACGCTTGCTCTTGGGGAGGAAAGCTATGGCAAATCTAGACAGCATACTAAAAAGCAGAGACATCACCCTGCCAACAAAAGTGCGTAAAGTCAAGTCTATGGTTTTCCCAGTTGCAGTGTATGGCTGTGAAAGCTGCACCATTGAGGCCTTTGAATTGTGGTGCTGGAGGAGACTCCTGAGAGTCCCTTGGCCCGCAAGGCGATCAAACCGGTCAGTCCTAGAGGAGATCAACCCTGACTGCTCTTTAGAAGGCCAGATCCTGAAGATGAAACTCAAATACTTTGGCCACCTAATGAAAAGGAAGGACTCCCTGGAGAAGAGCCTAATGCTGGGAACAATAGATGGCAAAAGAAGAAGGGGACGGCAGAGGATGAGGTGGCTAGATGGAGTCACTGAGGCAGCTGGTGTGAGCTTAGGTGGCCTCTAGGAGATGGTGGAGGACAGGAAGGCCTGAAGGAGTGTTGTCCATGGGGTCGCGATGGGTCGGACACGACTTCACAACTAACAACAACAATATCCAATGAAGTATTTTCTCTTGGTGGTGAGGGCAACCCCCCTTCCCACCACGCACCCTCAAGATCTCCTCTAGAGGCCTGGAGGACCCCAGGACAGAGTTGGGGGTACATGGACAGGTATACAGGGGTGGCAGAAAATAAAAAGTGCTGTTGCTTGAACAGACTTCCACTTGTACAGTGCTGACTTCTATCAAATATTATTATTATCCAGCATCATAAATTAAAAGACAACAGGTCTGTCCTAAATACAAGTATTTATTATTTCTTCAAGATTGCAGGAAGTCACAGAGTAAAACAAGAATCAAGGTTTGTACTAACCCCTGACAGAAAAGTGAATATGCCATTAAAAGGAAGAGATGACATATTGCCTCCCCATACATACTTCACCCCCCCCACACACACACATCCAGTATTGCCTACAATGTGGAATTGAGATGGGAGGTATAGACAACATAGATGCCAGTACAGAGCACAGTAAAAACCATTAGAATTTAAATTAACAAGATCTTCAAAAAAAACCTGAATTAACATAGGTGGAGCAGGATGAACACAGTGGACTTTACTTCTGAGTAGACATGACTTCATTTTTGCTACTACCCCATCCAAACCATGCTTGGTGCAGTCTAAGGCTATAAAGTATGAATCTTACTTTTGAACAAGGTCCTTTAAAATTCATGGACCTTAATCCTTTGACACAGATGTCACAATTAAAATAAGCCACAATGGCTTGTTTTGACTAATCATGTATGAGAGAACAAAAAACAAAACAAAACAAAACCAGGAATTTATTTATAAAAAATGTGTATTTATTTTTACATGTTCAAACTTCAGTCACCTTCAAAGTACTCCCCATTTGATGCAATACACCTCAAAACATTCTTCGCACTGCTCAAAACAGGTTTTGATCTCATCGATTTCGATGCCTTTTAGCGTTTCTGCCTTTTTTTGTGTCACCTCTTCCACATCAGCAAAACATTTCTCTTTGGGGGCTTTTTTCATCCAGGAAAACAAAAAAAAATCACACAAGGTGAGATCTGGTGAATATAGAGGATGGGGCACGAGGGGAATACCATTTTTGGTCAAAAAGTGCTGAACACTCCACTGAACAAAATTTCACCACCTCACATTGTCCATGCAAATCAGCTATCACGAAATAGGCAAACATGTTGAAAGAGTCTCCGAAACAATCTCACTGAAGCCAAACACAGCCTCTCACAACAACCCAGCTGGCTACACTGATGCAGATGGGTTTCCAGAACACTCAATTACCAGGGGAAGCCTGTAGTACAAGGGGCCCACCCTCCAGAAGATAATTCCTGGGGTTCTTTTTTTGGGGGGGTTCCCCCCTAGTATATCACTACAATTTACATTACCACCACCCAGGTGACCCATGTTGTGTCATCTGAGTCTAGGAAGTATGGCTTACTGGAGGGTTAAATTTCAAATAACCCTGTTACATAGTCAATGTTTTACCAGAATGTGTTTTAGTCATAATGTTATAAAAGCATCTATTTGTTTGTATGTGTGCAAAGTAGCCAAATTTATCACTATTTTTACAAGCATAAAATTTCAATTATTTCCATATATCTCCATGATCTGACCCTCCAATAAGCCATGCTACCCAAATCCCAGACCATATGACCCTCCATAGGCATGATTATGAAAATCCCACCCACTGTGCCAGCATACATAGCAGCTCACAACAAGCCTATTATTTAAGCCAGTGTAGTTTGTTTTGATTGCGTAAACTGTAAGTATGATTAGCATGTAGTAGTAAAACAAAGTACTACAAATATAAATGGCCCAATTCTACAAAAATCCATGTCCAGCTCTATCTTGAAGTTTCAACAACTATTTGTATATTTGGAGTATTTTCCACCATAGCATTTTGACCCTGAAAAACTGGTTATGTTCTCAAATACAGCAATTGTATTTTTAACCTCTGGTTATCTGGATGGTTTTGTTTTTGTTTAACTTTAAAAGTTATTTTTACATAAACTGCAGGATCATCTATGGTGCCTTGAATTTAATTAGAAAAGTCCATGTATCAAACAGCAAACTATTATAACAATTACACCAAGTTTTAGAGTTTAGTAACCTAAGCAGATTTATTTACAAAACTTCATGAATAAATTGCTTGGAAAGGGGCAATTAAAAATGCAATCTACTTTTGCTACACATTAATGAACAAAATTTAGGTCTGAAAATACCACTTAGTTCATTGGTCTGCTGATGATCTTTTATTTGACAACAGTCATATTCTATGAAAAGAAGCAAGGTGGGTCGGTGGAAGGTAGATCACCAAATGTTGTGGATTTCAACATTCCAGGAATCTTTGTCAGTATGACCAATTGTCTGAATGTTGAGAGTCTGGTCTAAAGCACCAGGAGAAACACCTGCCCACCCCTGAAGTAAAGTATGCTTTTACATAAAGGTTAGCCTACAGTTGTAATTGGGGTTTGGTTCCCAGATGGAAAGCCTAACAGTGGATTACACATGCATATGACTCTAATTAGTAGGAAGCTGACTATCCAAGGGTCTCCAGAACCACTTCTCTACTGACATTCATCCTAGCTTCTATTGACCACCTGCTAAGTAACAAGTGCCTACAAGTCAAATACTACAAACCCTTTATGGAAACAAGGGGCATCCCTCATAATCTGGCAGGACCATGTTTCTGGGATGAAGCATACTCTGGAGTCTACTATATGACAATAGCTTTTGTCATTGTCATCATTATACTATTCCATGATGCTATTCTGAAAAATGAATGCAGACAGAATTTGGCTGGCCAATTAACCAAATTTGGTTAGGCTGCTTTTTTATCGAAATGCCAACAATAACAAAAATTATTTTGAGATATATAGATGGCAACAAATGTTTCAAATGTGATAAACTGGATCAATTTTGTGCACTACTCTTGCCTATTGTGAGAAAATAGGAGAGAAGGCTAAGGTGAAGTCCAATGCTGACTGTCCAGAAATTGAATGATGTGTGTCAATCAAATGGATTCTCCCTTCAGAGAGTTATGAAATTCTTTGAAGTGATTTCAGGAACACATGGGAGGTTGCAGTAGGGAGGGGGAAAGGAAAAGTTTGGTTCCAATTTTTTACAGAAAATGTTAGTGCATGTAATGTTTACTGATGTTAAAGATCTGCTTAACTTGGTCCCAGGACATTAGATATTTGTCCATATACCTCTGTACACTTATACAACATAGTTAGAGGCAGACTAATATATTGTGGGTGTGGCAAATTGTTTCACCATAAACAGAACTGCAGCTCTCTACCTAAATATTAACTAAGCTCAATAGAAAAAACAGACTTCTTGTCTAGACTTCCTGTTACCAATTTTGTGCAGTTGCATGCCACCCAGACCTGGAACTGCAAGACAACTATCAAATATCATTACAGGCAATCCAAACATCCATATTACAGCAAAGACGTACTTACAAACTAACTTCCATAACGCCTATTAATTAAAAAAAACCTGCAGAAAATCATTATCACCATAGAAAGAGAAAAAGCAAAAGGGAAGAGAGGGAGGGCCTCCAAAGCTTCATCACAGAGAGGATGCAAAAAGGAAAAAAGGGAGGCCTCCAAAGTCTGCCTCACTCATCTGGAGAGGGAAATCTTTCTGGTATTTCCTCATTGCAAGATGAGGCACTGGTGAGTTTAGCAGAGCTTGTTACAGTTTTGCCACTTTCCCAGGACTCCCACATCCCTAAATCCTGCAAATGTAGAGAGCCAACTATATGTGATCCAACTTATATACAAATTTGACTTAAAGACAAATTTCTGTTTTCTCAAGACCAGAACTCATTACCTTGGGACTGTTTGTACAGAAAAAGAATGCTAGAATTGGTATATGTATGGAACATGTTGCTACCATCTACTCTGCTATGGAACTCGCACATCTCATTGATCATGTTAAAATTTGCAATAAATCCACTAACAATTAAGACAGCAACCATGGAACCCATTATCTGCAAGCCTATTTCCATAACACCAGAAAACTCAAACCAATTGAGCATCTAAATGTTAAAGTAATGAGATTGTAGAAAGGGCTACCTATTTTCAATCTCAGTAATTAAAGCAATTTCAGAACATTCATCCAGGCCACACCCTATTCTTTCAGCAGCAGTGCACAGCAAAAGCCACAACTTTAATACATACCTTTGAACTATAGAGAAAAATAAGTAAATCCAAATGCAAATGTGTTTTAGAGGTAGTATCTTAATAACCTATATCAAATTAAGTAAGAGTTAAGTAGCGCTCTTCATAAAAGTACATATGAGAATATGAAGACAACCTGATCAATCCTGAGTTCACTCAAATACAACATTAGTAAGCCAGCCATGCTTACAACTGAGTATACATGTCCAACATTGAAACATTACTGTACTTTAATAAGAAAAATCATTTTTCTCCAAACTGGTCAAACTTAAACAACTCATCAGTTAAGAACCAATCAAGGAAAAAAGAGTGCACATTTCTACTTTTAAAATAATCCCAACTAAGGGAGCCTTCCTCCCTCTGTCACAAGACTGAAGCCTGACAGTTTTGACACAGTACTCTTCTCTCCCTTCCATTTCTTTTGGCTGTCTTGTTCCAGCATATCATTTCTCCAGAACACAAGGGAATAAAAGAAATCTGTCTTCTGTATTGTACAGAGATGGCAGCAGTTTAGTCAGACTCTACAATCCCCCCCCCCCAACACATTTTCCAAAGACAGGGATGGGAAGAGAAAGAGAGAAGACAGAGTTTAAATGAATGGGCAGGGCAGCCCTCAAATTATCAAATTGAATAGGCTTTTAAAGATTTAAGCAGCCTTTCCCAACCAGACTCCCTCCAGATGTTTGGAACTGTGTTTCCCATCAGCCCCAGCAAGCATGGTTCATGGTCAGAGATGGTGGAGGTTGCATAGCAAAACAACTGGAGGGCACCAGGTTGGAGGAAAATGTTTTAAAGGAATACTCTAGTACCTCCACACCCATCTTATCATATTAAGTAAGGGGACATGTCTCTTGCTTGTCACAGAAATCAAGAACATGCCCCCACTCCATCATGTTCTCTAGGACCTACAGCATTTCCAATGGAGGAAGTCTGGCTTTGAAGTATTTTTTTAAAAAAGCCGCCTAACTTGCAGAAAGGTCGGCAGGAAAAGGCTCTTAGCAAGCTCTAGTACCAGCTCCAAACCTGCCCACTGAGGAAGCTTAAAAGGAGGAAAAGAAGTGGGGCGGAGGGTAGAAGAGAGGTCTTTGGCGGCCTTGTAAGCTCCAGGGTCACTCTGTCCCTCCACGCCTTCTTTACCTTCCGCCACGTCCTCGTCGATCGCCCCCTTCACCTGGGAGAAGCACCACTGGAAATCGTTGCTGCCTCCTCCTCCGCCGGCTACCCCTGCCAAAGATGAAAAAGCGCCGTAAGCCCAACCGGAGATTCCCAGATCCCAACCCTCACCTGCTGTCGCACGAGTCCCCGAGGCCCAGAAGCCGGTTTGGATCGCTTCCGAGTCTCGCTCAGCGAGGTTGCCAGGACGCCCTCCACCGTCCTAGGCCACCCGTGGGCCCCGGCCTGCTTGCCTGCCCGCCTGCCTCCGCCCGCTAAAACCAGGGCCAACACCGCGGCTGCTGCCGCGCGTGCCTCTTACCTGCCATGTCGCGCAGTGTATGCCGGGCGGAGACCGGGGGCTGCACAGCCCGCAAGACGGAAGAAACGGACAGAGCGGAATGAGAGCCGCTATGAGCACCGCTACCGCTGCTGCTCCTGTGGCGGCCGCCACCGCCAGCGCCGACGCCGCCGGAGGTTTGGGGGTTTCAAAATGGCGCCCATTGCCGGTCAGCCTGATCCGGTGACGTCATCGTCCTACCAGCCTCCTCCGGGCTGAGGGAGGTGTCAAGCGAGGGAAAGACGGAGCAGCGGGAACTGCGGGGGGAAGGGACGACTGGCAGAAGTGAAGGAATAAGATGGGCGGACGGGCGGAAGCGCCGGGATGGGTCAGATCGTGTCCAACCGGACTGCCCTTGGAGGCTGTCTTTTCGCTTTGCGTGGAACTGAGCCAGAGGCTGAGGACTTTTTCCCAGAGACAAAGATTCTTGCTCCAACATGCTCGAATTTTGTTCGACAAAACAAAGATATGGGACTGGGGAAGTGCCAAGGGGTGGCCATGTCATCTTCCACCCCCCGTGCCCCCTGATTTGTGCTATGGATTGGAGACATTTTTTCACCCGTGAACACAGGAAGCGATGGTTCTAACTGTAACACGCAACCTCATATGAGGTCTAGTTGAACAATCAGTAGTAAGGCAACCTTGCCATTTCACTGTTCCTCGCTTAGTACTTGAAAGTTACCAGATACATAATACTTTGCAAATTTAGATAGAAAAAAAATGCTGCAGTTTCCACCTTTTTTCTGGCTAAACATAGCATTGCTCTCTAAGCCTGTTTTGCAATGTAGACTTATTTCCACAACTATTATGTGAACCAAGTTAGACTGAACCTGTAGCCTAAACAAATCTTATTTCAAAATCATACCCATGGTAAGCCATAAGGTATAAATCTGATTGTGCCATCTGGAATTTCAGGACAAAGTGGAGATCTAGTATTTTCCTCCAGAAATGAAGAATGGATGGAAAGCTTGGAATGCTAGGAATTGGCTTTCATAGAATAGTAGATGGAATTTACACCATCCAATTCAGATGGCTTTCCTTTTTTGCATTGAATGGCTCAAGAGTGGGAGAGCCCACCACCTCTCTAGCAAGCTGGTTCCACAATTGTGTTGCTCTTAACAGTGAGGAATCTAGCCTGAATCTGGGTTGTCGCAACTTGACTTGATTATACACTCTGGTATCAGTATCATACTCTTTGTAATCTTCCTCTTTGTGGCAGTCTTTGAAGTACTTACAGAGGGTTAGTTGTCCCTGTTGAATCCCATTCTGTTGCTTTCAGCCCAGTGTTCAAGTTTATCAAGATCACCCTGCATCTTCATTATGTCCTCTGGGGTGTTTGCTATTCCACCCGGTTTTACATCGTCTGCAGATATGATTATCTTTTCTTGTACTTCCTCCTCTAAATATTTAATGCAGACATTGAAGAGCACTGGGCCCAGGACTGAACCCTGTGGCTGTGACTATGAGACTGGGACAATTGCTTCCTTAGAAGAAATAACACCTAATCAACATCTGGATTGTAAACTTACTTTTAAGAAAGTTTTGAACAGTGTAATACAGTGGTACCTGGGCTCACGAACGCCTCAGTTCACGACCAAATTGGGTCGTGAACAGAAGTACCGGAAAAAATTTGCCTCAGGTCACGGACTCCACATCAGGTGACGATCGTGATTGCACCCGTCTTCCCTGCACAAGCGCGACCGCGATCCGGGTCATGCCTGGGGGGCGGGGGGGAGATGGCTGTGGTCACGCTCATGCAGGGAAGACAGGCACAATCGCGTTCATGCTCCGGCGGGAGGGGAGGAGATGGCTGTGATCGTTATTGTTCTTTGTTACTTTGTTGTCCTTTGTCACTTTGTTTCAAATTTTTGTGATTTAAAAAAATGGTTACATAACGGATTAAGCTTATTTACATTAAACCTTATGGGGAAATTTGACTAGGGTCACGACCAATTTGGGTCGTGACCAAAGTCATGGAACGGATTAAGTTCGTGAGCCACGGTACCACTGTACTGGTGAATTAATAATAATGGTATTGAGAGCCAGTGTGGTGTAGTGGTTAAGAGCACGGGACTGGGATTCAGACGATCTGGGTTCTAGTCCCCACTCAGCCATGGAGCCAACTGGGTGGCTTTGGGCCAGTCACAGACTCTCAGCCCAACCTACCTCACAGAGTTGTTGTTGTGGGGATAAGATGGAGGAGAAGAGATGATGTAAGCTGCCTTGAGCCCTTTGTAGGAAAAAGGCAGGATATAAATTGAAAAATAAATAAATAAAAATAAAATAAATATATTGGTAAGGGAACTAACAGCACACACCCACCTCAATAGGAAAAGGTGCATCTATTCTCCTTATTAAGAGTAATATACAACAACATTTTTGAAACAAGGGTTATTGCTTTAAAATATGACTTTGGCAATTCTAATTGTACATGTGTTTAACATACGGTGATGCCTATGCTAAACTTTTCATTAGCCGTTCCTTTTTCAAAACAGACGGGAATAAAATAAAAAGGTCTTCACCTGGCACTGAAAAGACTGCAATGTAGGCACCAGGTGAGCCTTTGTCAGGAGAATATTCCAGAGCCAGGATACCACAAATGAAAAGGCCCTTTCCTCAGTAGCTTCTCAAAGGGCACCTAGAAAAAAATTTCTGAGGATGATATTAGGGTCTTGACTTGGCATCTATGAAAAGAGACAATCCTTCAGGTAACGTGACCCCAACCTGTTTAGAGCTTTGTATACTAGCACTTTGCATTAGGCCTGGAAATGGTTTAGTAGCCAGTGCAAATCATAAAGTGCTACCATAATATGATCATATTGGCCACAATCCATTAACAATCTTACTCCCCTGTTTTGGACAAGTTAATGCTTCTGGACTGCTGAGAGGAAGGTCAGTAGGTGATGTGGGACATCTCACATCCAACTTGTAAGAACCCTTGCAAGTTTCATTGTGAGCTCAGAAAACTTTGCTACCCTCAGTACTCTGCCAGTGGTGGTCTGCTATTGGTAATGACAAAAGGGAACCATTCTTCTCTTGCCCTAACACATCCCTGAAATCAAAGATGCTAGTGTGTGAATTTTGGAGCTACTGTGCTATATCACTCCAGCTCTCTGCAGCTTTCTGTTAAACCTGGAAGGACAGTGGATGTAGTGGTTTCTCTACCTTATCTTCTCCCTTTCCCATCATTATAGGATTGCCCTGTCTATATTTTAGCTCATGTTTTCCTCTGTGGTATGATTAAATACTCATTTCCCAATCTTTAAAGAGAGTCCATGTCACTACCCCCATATCTCCTGTTTCCATTTGCTCTCATAGGTTAGAGAGCAACCTATTAAATATTTAAATATTTTTTAAATATTTCCCCAAAACTAGCCACATTCAACACCTACAATTGTATTCAACATCATGATATATGATGGCTCCATGTGTTATTAAGTTATTGACTGGGTTTACAAAAGCCACCATGACTTTTTCTCCATGATGGGGTGTGGTATCATGTGAACCCAAGCCATTTTCTCCAGTGTGACTTGTTCAAGATTTCTTCTTCAGCATCTGTTGTTGGAGTGTAAAACTGAATAATGGCTATACTGATAGGTTTTCCAAGAATTCTGACATTTGGTTAGATTTCTTACTTTACAAGAATTGCCTTAAACTAGAACAATGAAACAATCTGAAATGTCACTAGCATCAGAAAAAAAAATCCTAGAACAATACACTCCTGATCCTATTTTAAAACTGCACAAGGAAGCATGGTTAGTCCAAAGCAGGGACTCCTCACTTTATTACATGTTTTTGGAAATACAAAGAAGAATTTACTGCTTCAAGGATTAGGGTCTATTTAAAATGGTGGGCAGTTTAAAACATTGTGCTAAATTGGAACAAATCTCAGCAAAGCTCAATTATTAGTGCTGAAAACTGTGGGGACTGTTATTTATGGAAAAATTAATACTGTTATCATGACTAAAGTTGCAAAAAAGCTGCACAGAATCCATCTAGCTCCCATGGATTTCCTTCACGCCCTGCTCCTGCAGTTTATTATAACAACCATGGCAAAATTGCAAAAGCTTTGCTCACTTACTTCCCTAACCAAGAAGAATCTGTCTTAAAATAAGATTCTCTTGAAGGGGGAAAAGTGTTACCAATAACAGCACCCTAAAACACCCCAAATGTAGTTAGCCTGAGGAAGGCTGCACAGTAGAAACACCACAGCCACCTTGCAGGAGGAAGCCGGGAGGAATTAAGTGATAAACCCTGCGCAAACTCCTGTGACAGATCAGCAAAATCTCAAAAGAGAGTAAATGGGTAGAATTGCTGGTGCCTGAAACTGATTTAAATCTCAATAGAAGCAGCAAAATATACTATGAATTACAGTAGGTGTAGAGACACAAGGCTGATGTGAATGGTTAGAAAATAGCTGACATATGGGGAGGATGTCCTTGGGAGAATAAAGGATTTCTACAAGGAAATAACAAAAGGTGTCAAAAATATATGACTGTATCTACCATGTATCTGGACATCATGCCTGCAATGTAGAGTATATAATATATGTTTTCTGAGACTCTGATTTGGAAAGTGTCTCCCCCCTCCTCTCTGTTTTACTCTAAAAGTGCACTAGACTAAAA